CAGCTCTGTGGTGCCATTAGGAACTCATTCTCCTTCCTGTCTGCTTATCCATCCTTAGAATGTACCCTTTGCCTTATAGTCACAGAATGGCTGCCCTACTCCAGCACTGCATCCATATCCCAGAGAGAAGAGGAGAAAGACAAACAGTATAAGGCAGGCACCAGCTGAATCTCCCTAACTTTCAAGGAGCTTTCTTGGAGGCCACACCTAGCAATTTGCCATCAGATCTCATTGATTGGAGCCATGTGCCACATCAGCTAGGGGCCTGGAAAAGTTTTAGCTGGGCACATTGCCTCTCCCAACGAGACAGCTTTCTCCTGTTAGGCAGGAAGAAAGGGAGAGGGGCTTGTGTGGGCATCCGGCAGCCTCAATTCCCTCTGCCTACTTTTCTGACTTTGGTCTTTGCATCACTGATTAGCAGGAGGCCCTGTGTATTGGTGATATGAATTTCAAACCCTGGGTTGCAGTAAAAGCGGTGTCCCGGCCCCGGCCCCTGGTCTACCTCTGTCCTTTCCCTGTGGCTCCAGCAGACAAGCTGGGCCTGTGAACTCTGAGGATCTCTTGTAGGAGGCACTACAGGTTGTGAAGAGCCGGCAAGCTGTGGGCCTCTGCTTCCCCTGCCCACAGCCCAGCCCCTCCCCAGGACTGCCCATGAGACCCTTGTCGGAGCACTTGCCGCCCTCCCCGGAACCTGCCCTGGTTCCCTGACTCAGGAGCGCTGAACTTGACCAAGGCCCAAGAGTGTATCAGGAACTCAGATGCCCTTGGGTGGTAGCCCTCTGGCCTCAGTGACTAAGGCTGGCCCAGGACTCGGGGTCGGCTTCGTGCTGGGGCCTCCTCAGTGGGGTCCAGGCCTCACCCTGCCTTCTGTGCTAGCCTGGCCAGGAGGACCTGGTCTAGGGCTCAGTGCCCTCTGATCTGCGTGTCACCTCTGGGCCTCGGTCTCCTCTCTGTGACCTGCTGGCCTGACCTTCCCGGCGGAGAAGACCTGGCACGTGGGCCAGAGTGTCAGGTCCTGCCTGGCTCCTCACCTTCCCAGACCCCTGGGCCAATGCAGCCCTGCCTGACCCCCTCACCCCGGGCAGGTGGCATCCTGTAGCCGCAGGCTCAAGGCTCTGGCCTTATTAAAAATACACATTCACACCCCCAAACACAGACGTTCAAGTGAATGAGAAGTGGAGCTGCTGTTGTCTGAGCCTGGGAGACCAGGGAGGCTGTAGGCAGGCATCCCACGATGTCATGCAGCCTCAGCACGGGCAGCGCTGACTCGGGGCATCCTCCGTGCCAGCCCTGCTGACGCACTGCTTTCCGAGCTGCCTGTTCCGGGCCCCCCGGGCTTTCTCTGACCAGTGCAGTAAGTTAAAAGCGGGGACTGCGGCCCAGCTGGGGCTCGTGCCCTCTGGTGTGGGCACAGCCCAGGGGTTAGAGGAGCCTGAGAGGGAAAATGAGGCAGGATCCTGGTTGCTGAGACCAGAGCTGACCCAGAGGCAAGAGCCCCCCACCTCACCCTCCTGGCTGTGCTCCGTGGGGAGGAGCCTCCACTCTGTGCCCCGCCCACACCAGGATGTCACGGGGTCCCCACGGCCTCCCACGGAGGCAGGATGCTCCAATTCCTCCCTCTTGAGCGCCCAGATGACATTCCAGCAGGGAAGGGGCAATAAACCCGGTGTGCGCTGCCCGCTGAGGGGGCCAGGCCACGTCTGACCCTGAGGGGTGGTTAGGGATGCCTCCCAGGTCAGGTGACATCTGAGCAAAGACCTGATGGGAGTCGGGGAGCAAGTGTGCAGGGAAGAGCACTGCAGGCAGAGGGAACAGCCAGCGCCGAGGCCCTGAGGGCACATCCCGCGTATTGGAGAAAAAGAGGGCAGCCAGTGTGGCTGGAGTGGAGACAGGATGGGATGGAGGCGGGGCACGCAGAGGGAGCCGGGCCTTGCTTTTCTTTGCGGTTCGCGGGCCTCTCACTGTCGTGGCCTCTCCCGTCGCGGAGCACAGGCTCCGGACGCGCAGGCTCGGTGGCCGTGGCTCACGGGCCCAGCCGCTCCGCGGCACGTGGGATCCTCCCGGACTGGGGCGCGAACCCGCGTGCCCTGCGTCGGCAGGCGGACTCCCAACCACTGCGCCACCAGGGAAGCCCGTTGCCGGCCCTTTTAAGGACTCTTTGTGGAGGGTTCTCGGGAAGGACAGACACGATCTGACTTTCATTTTACAAAGAATTGCTTGGCGGCTGGCGGGCTGAAAATACACCGAGGAGAAGTGGCAGAGCAGCCGGGCCCCCATAGCTGCAGCCGGTGGATGGGATGGGGGGTGGGCATCAAGGGCTGGTCTGAACGGTGCAGCAGGGCATTGTGTTTACGGAGCCGGGCAGGCAGGGGAGGGCAGGTCTGGGCAAAGCGCATGGGGTCAGACACCCAAGCAGGGAGGTAGAACAGGAGCAGAGAGCACTTGCCGAAGTCCAGGGAGAGCCGGCCCCGGGCTGGCGCACATTTGAAATCAGCACGTGTCAGGTTTGACAGCCAGTGAGTTCACCCAGGGGACAAGTGCGGATAGTGGAGGAAAGGGAGAGGAGCCCGGCAGCGGAGGTCAGAGGTCGGAGGTCAGGTCGTAGGAGGACGTCATTACCCCGGATCAGATGGGGTCCCCGCAGGAGCCCAGAAGCCACTTGGGGCACTGGAAGGGCGGCTGAGTCAATGTCGGGGCCCGGCACCTGCCACCCCCGCTCGCCTCCTGTCTCTCCTGCAAGTATGTCTCACCAGCAGAACCCAACTGTGCCCAGAACCCCCCCCCCCCAAAGCCGCCACCAGCAGAACCCAACTGTGCCCAGAACCCCCCCCCCCAGAAGCGGCTGGAGAAGGCAGCTCTCAGGCCTTCAGCCCCTGAGGTGCGGAGACTGGGAGGGAGTAAGAATGATGCCGTCTGCCCACCAGCATTCAGCCACCCCGCTCACATGCGTGGGGTCCGGGGCTCCCCGAGGTCCTGGGCTTGTCCAAGACCCCGCAGATGATCTTATTACTCTGTTGTTTTCTTAGCGTAAAGACAAGGGAAGAAATCACAGAGGAAAAGGTAGATTTGACCTCAAAACAAAGTAAAAATGGGACTTCCCTGGTGGTCCAGTGGTTAAGACTCTGTGCTCCCAATACAGAGGGCACAGGTTTGACCCCTGGTTGGGGAACTAAAATCCCACATGCCACATGGCGCAGCCCCCAAAAACGAAAACAAAATAAAAACCTCTACGCTCTACATGCTCAAAAATGTTTTATGCAAAGTTAAAGGGAAAATTACAAGCTTACCACAGATAACTATCACACTGATGACCATGTTAATTCCCTCAATATGCAAAGAGCTCCTAAAAATATTATCCAAATAAAAAAGGTTAGCCAAGGATATAAATTGATAATTCACAGAAGAGAAATACAAATAAATGTCCAGTAAATGTATGAAAATTTCATTGATAATAAAAAATTCAAAATAAAGCAAGGGAATGCCAAAATTTATCTAATAAGTTGTCCAAAAAGATTTGGGGGGAGGAGGGGAACGATACTGCTGGTAAGTGTTTATTTTGATGTGCTTTACGTCTGTTGGGATCCTGTCCTACATTTTCAGTTTTACACGGTATTAGGTATTTTGTCATCTTACTATAAGTTTTCCAGAAACTTCATTGTAATGGCTGTGTCCTACTCACCCACAACACAGAGAGATCGTATCTGATTCCCTGTGTTGACATTTAGGCTGTTAATACTTTCAATCACTGCATGCACCGTTGCCCTGAGCTGCTTGTACATGGATATTTTCTGCTTTTTGTCTGGTTTCCTTAGATTCCCAGAAGTGTGGCTACTGGATTAAAGCGTACGGAAAATACAAGGCTCTTAAAACATATTTCCAGATTGCTTTCCAGAAAGACTCACCAGCACCATCCCACCAGCCCTTCTCGTTGCTGCATTGGCAACATTAGACGTTCTTTTTTTCTTATTGTCAAAAACTTAACTGATTTTTTGAATAGGTAACACGTGACACACACAGGTCACAACCCCCACAATATTCCAAAGAGTAAGTAGAAAAAAGTCACTCTCTGCAAACACTAATTCCCTCCCCCAGAGATTTTCCTTGCTTGGTTTTTGTGTGTGTGTGGTAAAATACACATGACATAAAATTTACCATCTTAACTGTTCTTAAGTGTACAATTCAATGGCATTAAGTACATTCACGTGTGATCATCACCACCGTCCGTCTCCGGAACCTTCTCACCTTCACAAACTGAAACTCTGTCCACATTAAACAACAGCTCCCCACTCTCCCCCGCTACCCCCCGCGCCTCCCCTTCTACTTTCTGTCCTGGGAATTTGAATCCTCTAGGGGCCTCATATGACCAGAGTCACACAGGACTTTTTCTTCGGGGTCATTTTCCGTGTTTATTTCCGTCTTTGCCCCACCGCACTGTCACCACCCAGGAGAGCCGGCAGGACCGATTCCTGGGGGAGGACATGCAGGGTCCGAGGGTCAGTGTTCCTGGCGGCTGGGGTGCTGCCCACTGCTCCGGGGGCCACTGGGGACCCCCACATCGGGAGACGGCTGCCCTCTCCCCTGGCTTGGCCGGCGACCCCCTCCCGAGCTGTTTCTCCTCCAGACCCTGAGCCCCCAGGAGCAGGCGTTCATCATGGAAGTTCTGTCCGGGTGCCTCGAGTACCGGAAGCTGCTGACCATCGTGGTGGATGCCTTCTATGTGCGGGACGGCCGGCTCTGCCTGTGGGCTGATTACAGCCTCTTTGAGGGTAGGTGCCCGTGGCCAGGCACGGTGTGGGGCCCATGGGTCCCTGCGGGCCAGGCCCTGGCCTCCTTGTCAGCAGCAGGCCCTCGACAGCCACGGCGCCCCCCACCCCCACCCCGTATGAGACGACGTCATTTGTACTGTTGTATCAGGTTATCATTTTCACGTGGGCCCAGATGGAGCGCTTGCCTCTGGTCACACGCCCTGCTGGAGGCGGGTGCCTTCAGCTCAGTTCGCTGCACCTGCAGTGCACCTGTCGGGCCCTTAGCCTCTGGCTGACTCCCCCAGGGTCAAACGCCGGAGGCCCAGGGCGGGGACCCCCATGTCCTCCTCCCCACTCTTGCACCCTCTCTCCTTAGTGATCTGCTACCTGGCCACTTTCCAGCTGGAGGAGCTCGGCTTTCAGCTCTTCTGTAGCATTGTGAAGTCCCAACCCGTCCACAAGGTGTGCAAGGTGAGCCCCACCTGCCCCAAGTTCTATTCTTAAATCCAAGGTCAAAGGTCTGCCCCATCTGGCGCTGACCTCTTACCTTTCTGGCTCACTTTAATGAAAGAAACTGCTGGGTTTGTTCTGTGTTTAAAACGAACCCACACGCTCTCTTTGCTGCAAACGTGCTCTTTTTGTGCCTGGGGAATTTGTTTTCCGTTCCTCACGGTCCGGTGGGTGGTAGCTGCTGGATGCTAGCTGTTAGTCACGACACGGAGTCCTTGCCTGTTCAGTCCGGGCCTCTGGAACCTTCCTGGGCTCCTCTGGCTTGTGACCAAGCTCCAGGCCCAGGGCAGCCTCTCCTTCCTCCAAGAGGGGCTGTGCGGCTTTGCAGGGCCGAGGGAGCATTTCTGAGCAGGTCTGAGGATCGGTACCCTTCGAGAGAGAGCCTGCAGGAGCCCACCCCCCTGCCCTGCCCGGGACCACTCCTGTGGCTGCCTGTTTCCTGTGCAGAAAGCCTGGGACTCCTGGGCCTTGGGGCTAGCAGAACCACGAATGAACCTGAGGGTCCTGCCCTCTGCCGGCTACTCCCACAAAGCATTTGCTGTGGGCCCGGCTTCCTCCGCAAGCAGCTCTTGCTTCACCCTCACAATGACCGGGTAAGGTCACTCCTACGGGCACTCATCCCACAGTTGAAGAAACTGAGGCATAGAGAGGTTCGGTAACTTGCCCAACATCACACAGCACGTGAGTGGCAGAGCCAGTTCTTGGACCAGGCTTTCAACGGTTGGCTCGCTCCTCCATACTTGGCTTGGCGGGGGGGGGGGGGGGGTGATGGACACACACACAGTCACCAGACCAGGACAGGGACCCCCTGGAGAAGAGTGGGGAGAGCTCAGGCCCCAGGAGTGCTTTGGGGCCTCTCTGGAAGGAGGCTGCAAGCTCCGCAGAGGCAGCTCAGGCAGGGTGGTGTAGGAGCCTTCCCACTGCCCCCGCCTGGGGAAGGGGAGACCTGGAGCAGTGACACTTGCCAGGACCACAGGCCCCAGAGATCTGCACCCTCCCCCAGCAGGTAACCTGAGGCAGCACATTAATTTTAATGACTCGTTTTTCTGTCTACATATAAATGTAAGCAATTCACAGTGGGTAAATATTTGCATAGTTATCTTAAGCAAGGGCTTCTTTTTTTTTTTAATATAAATTTATTTATTTATTTATTTTTGGCTGCCTTGGGTCTTTTTTGCTGCACTAGTTGCTGCGAGTGAGAGTTGCGGTGCACGGGCTTCTCATCACGGTGGCTTCTCTTGTTGTGGAGCACGGGCTCTAGGCGTGTGGGCTTCAGTAGTTGTGGCACTTGGGCTCAATAGTTGTGGCACGTGGGCTCTAGAGCGCAGGCTCAGTAGTTGTGGCGCACGGGCTTAGCTGCTCCGTGGCATGTGGGATCTTCCCGGACCAGTGTCCCCTGCATCGGCAGGCGGATCCTTAAGCACTGCACCACCAGGGAAGTCCCAAGGGCTTTAATTTTATGACAGCATTTCTGAGAGATCTTTGGAGACTGCCCAGGGCCAGCTTCCCGGCTGGAGAGCCTGCACTTGGTTCACGCTGTGCTGTCAGTCCTGAAATTCTTAGTAACTGTTGAGCAAGGGGACCACGTGTCAGTTTGCAGTGGTGGAGCCAGCCCTGCCCCGCCTGGGCCTGCAGAGCCTGCAGAACGCATGGAGAGCAGCTCTAGGCCAGCGCAGCGCCTCCAGTGCAAGTTTCTGGGCGTTTATCTCCCTGGAGAGTTTCTGGGAGAAGATTCATGGAAAGGGCCCATTCACACTCCCAAAGGAGCTGGGAGCTGCAGGAGGTGGTGCGGCACCGCACCAGGGCCCTCCTTCCTCGGCCCGCACCTCATGCCCCAATCCCCACAATGCCAGTCCCATTAGGGTCCGCCCGCCTCGGGTTTGAAGACAGGGAGCAAGCTGTTGGGGACAGGACGGCTGCCCAGGGAACCCCTCAGACCACACCCGTGTGCTGTCACCACTGTGGTCAGAGGAGCTGGTGCTTGGGCAGCCTTGGCCGCGGTCTCCTTGGGAGACAGTGCTGTATGTGGGCATTCTAGGGGGACTGGCCCTGGGACGGCACCTGGAGGGGTGCTGGCAATCGTGATCCCTCCAAGGACGCTCACACTCACATGCTGGAATCCTCTGGACGGCAGGAAACCCACCCGGAAGCCCAGCCCCATTCCAGCCTTTTTCCTGGGGGGGCTGCCTCCACTGCACCCCCAGAGAGAAGGAGGCCCCCTTTAGGAGGGCCCTAGCCCCAGGGAGGGGAGGCAGTATGTCCCCAGGTGGGGGTCAACAGACCAGCTGCACTTAGTGGGAGGAGGGGCCTTGGGGATGGAGGGGTGGGCTGGGACGGGGAGTTCAGAGATCCCAGGGCCCAGCTACTGGGGGCTGGGATGGGGAGTGCAGAGACCCCAGGGCCCAGATACCGGGGCGGGGGGCGCTGGGACGGGGAGTGCAGAGACCCCAGGGCCCAGCTACTGGGGTGGCTGGAAGGGGGAGTGCAGAGACCCCAGGGCCCAGATACAGGGTGGGCTGGGACGGGGAGTGCAGAGACCCCAGGGCCCAGATACCGGGGTGGGAGGCGCTGGGTTGGGGAGTGCAGAGACCCCAGGGCCCAGATACCAGGGCGGGGGGCGCTGGGACGGGGAGTGCAGAGACCCCAGGGCCCAGCTACTGGGGGCTGGGACGGGGAGTGCAGAGACCGCAGGGCCCAGCTACCGGGGCTGACTGCCTCCTTCCCACAGGAAGTGGGAGCAGGGCTGAAAGAGTGGGTGGGAGAGAGGCGGGGGGACTGAGCAGGGCAGGGCGGGGAAGCTGAGGAGAGGCCCCGGGGTGGAGTGGGGTGAGCAGGGGCCAGGCTGCCTGGTGGGAAGCTGTGGAAGGCTCTAGAAGGACACCTGGCTGCTGCTCCGTGAAGAGGGGCGGGGGGCCTGAGGGGAGGTGGGAGGGGAGCACGTGGCTGGGGGGCAGCGGCCCCCTGGGGAGGCAGCCGTGGAGACCAGAGACCCTGCCCTTGCCCACTGCTACCCCCTGGCTCAGCCGCTCGAGTTCACCACGGCCTCAGGGGCGCCTGCTCAGCCCACCAGGCCCCACGTGTGGCCTTTACTGCCCCAGCAGCCGCTCAACCAGAGAGGGGCCGACAGGCTTCTCCGGCGAGAGTCGGCCCAGGTCCACAGAGGGTGCGAGGGGTTGGAGCCCGGAGGCCCACGGCAGGCAGGGACCCACTGGCTCAGGCGGGAGCCCCGGCAAGTGAGGGGCAGCTCCCCCAGCCCAGCAGGAGGGGGCGAGCGGGCTGCCTGCTGCGGGCCGCGGCCCCCTCCGGGGGCGATGGCCACATCTGTCCCCTTGGCCCCGACTCTCCCTGTGGAGGCACCCGGCCCCACAGCTCCCTCTTCCCTCAGTTCCTGGGGTTCCTCTTCAACCCCTTGAACCTGGGCTCATGGATCAAGGATGAGTGGAGCCTCATCTACGAGACCACCCACGTGAAGGAGCAATGGATCGACCCCCTGATGAGGTGGGCGGCGCAGGGCCCCCGATCCGGTGCAGGGTGGGTGGGGCATCCACGCGGCAGCCAGCTGATAGCCAGCAGGGCCTGATGGCCAGTGGCTTTAGGACCAGCCGGATCAGCGGGGTGGGACCTGGCCCCTTCTGCCCTGCAGCCCACTGGCTGAGGAGGGCGCTGTGCCGGTGCCACCTTGCTGCAGGGACCCTGCATCCCTGTCCACCACCCCATATGCAGCCTTCCCCGCTCGCTCTGTGACCAGCCCCATCACAGACCTGTCCCTTCCCCCACTGCCCCTCCCGAGACCCCACTCCCTCTTGGCCCTCAGACATGCCCTTCCTCCCCCTGGTGACCTTGGTCCTCAGGCTGGGGCAGGAGCAGTTCAAACCAAGCTCTCTCCCCACGGGAGCCCTGCAGGAGGGTCACCGGCCAGGTGGGCAGTGGTGGGCTGGAGTGGAGGAACGGAGGGGGCCCAGACTTTGGGGCAGCCCAGTAGGGCCCTTCTCAAGCCCCTGCTCCGGGGCCCCCCACCTCGAGACTCTGAG